TCTCTCTCTCTCTCTCTCTCTCTCTCACACACACACACACACACACACACACACACACACACACACACACACACACCCATACACACGCACACACACACGCACACACACGGACACACACACACGCACACGCACACGCGGACACAGACCGCGCCGCTGTGTAGCGGCGCAGATGTATGTGCGTGGGGAGTGCCGGCCCTGCGCTAAGGGTTGTGCTTTGATCACAGTCAGCGTGATGTGGATGCAAGGGACATCTGTTGGGTCTCAGATTCCAAGGTGCTTTTGCAGCGCTTCGTCATTAGCTGCGGCTGTTTTTCGCTCCCTTTTTCCCGTTGTCATCTTCCGTTCCGATGCCGTATGTCCTCAGGGGATTACGATCGCAAGTCAAGGAGGCGTGATCCTTTCCCCGCTCGACGCGGTACCATTTTCAACCCTGGTTTGCAATCACTCCCCCCAAACTCTCTCACGATGATTGCCATTTTCTCTCCTCTCTCTCTTCGGATTGCCGCAGTTCTGTGGCTTGCGGCAACCTCCACCATGCCGTGTGTCTCTTCTGCACCTCCCTCAAGCACGCGCTATGGAAGCCACGAAACCTCTTCCGAGTCGAAGAGTCGTGGGCCTCCGGCGCACGCCAACCGCCACAGCAAGCCGGTCAACTTCAAAGTCCGAGAGCTGGAGACACTCCTCGCCCAAGGGAAGGAACTGCCTGAGTCCGTTGCCGAGTTGTACTCGCGCGTCCTTGAGCCATCGCACGAAGACTCGCTCAACTTGCAAGGGCGACGGCGCACTGAGTTAATGAAACCGGCGCAGCAAAGCACTACTGGTGCGATCAACTCCCGCGAGACTGCGCTTCAGCGAATCCTCCGCAAACTGCGCCAAGAAGGTGTTTCTGCTCCTCCGTCAAGCACGCGCGGTGAAAGACGCGCAATGTCGTCGTCGGCACTTTCGAGGAGTCGTGAGCATCGGGCGCAAGGCGGCAAAATCTCGTCGGCAGGTTCGAGGAGGGGTAAGCATTGGGCTCGGATGAAGCTAACAGAGAGTGAGGAAAAGGATGTCTTCAGGCTGGTTGAAAGCAAGGAATTGCCCAAGTCCATTGCGCGGCGGTTCTTGCGAGTCCTCCAGACATCGGTGAGGCTCAGTGAGAGCGAGGTAGAAGAGATCCTCAGTCTGGCAGAAAACAGGGGTTTGCCCGAGTCCATTGCGGCGTTGTTCTTGGGAGTCCTCGAGACATTGGCGAGCGACTCTGTCGAGATGGACGAACGAAGACCCCAGTTTCGAACGGGGAGGCGAGCCTCAAGTGGGGTGGACTTTACGGACAAGGCTATTCAGCAGGAAACCGCCACCGAAGGTGGAGGGCCGCACTCTCGCCTCCTTGAGATAATTGGTGTTTCCAACGTTCCGTTCCAGTTCGTAGACAGCAACGTGCTGACGTTTCGAGGCAATCTACTTCCCTCTTCCTCCCATATTATCTACCCGGAGGGAGGCATCCATTTCGTGCAACCGTCCAGTGTGGACGAATCGATTTTCTTCCTTTCGGAAAAGGGAGTCTGGAGGTTGCCGACCACCTCAACCTCGTACGGTGCTGGTTCCGTCAGTCGTGCTGCTGGCCCCTTCTACGATGCGCAAGCTTTCACGATCGTGGACATGAGCAAGTACGGGCGCCAAGGGAGGTTCCTTCTAGTGGCCGAAGCCGATGATGACAGCCTGCGAACTGTCAGTTTAGACTCGTATGAACCGCCTTTCGGTATCCGTTACATGACAGGCCTCAACTCTGAAATTCTTAGCCTTGCTGTGGATCCGTCACGGCCTTACGTTTACTTTTCAACGGAGTATGGGATCTTCAAGATGTATCTCCCCTCTTCCGGAACTGGCTCAGTAGTCCCTCTCATCGATGAAGGGTCGGCGATAGGATCAGTTGAAGCCAGCATCCCCGGTGATGCGGGTTTCGATCGAGTTCGCGTGAGCCAGCATGCCTTCTCCGCTGACGGCCAGTTCATGTATGTTGCCGACCTAAACAGAAACGCAGTCTACCGCGTTTGGATGGCGAGCGGAGAGGTGGAGAATATCGGTAGTGGTTATGTTGATGTGGACGTGTACGGCCCCTATGGATTAGCGTTAACGTCGGACGGTTGTAACCTGTTCGTGTCAGAGTATGTGACAGGGAGGATCACGCTAATCACCTTCGAACGCAGCGGTGGCCTCGTGAGGAGCATCCGAACACTCGCAGGTAGGAGCAGCGGTCGCTATACGGAATCGTCCATTGAYCTTTTCGGTTTGGCGATCTCCCCAGATGACTCGTATCTATACGTCGGAGCGTACGAGGCGATCTACAAGTTCGAAATAGACACTTGGGACTTGCCCTCCTGCTCTCCTATCTCATCTTCTTCGCCTCCATCCGTTCCTCCTACGATCAGACCCATCATTTCTACTAGCTCTCCCCCGCCCGTAATCTCTGTGCCGCAACCTAGCGGTAACACCTTTCCTGGTTCAACCGCCACTCCTACCCGTAGTTCTACTACGCCGCTCCCTCCCGACCCTCCTTCCCCTATTTCTTTTAGCTATCCACCGCCCTCCACGTCTACGCCGCCGCCACCCTCCACCTCTACGCCGCTACCGCAGTTTATCTCAAATTCGTCCTCTGCTAAGAAGCAAACCGATCTCACACCCGTTGTCATCGCTCTCGGCGTCGTTTTGCCCGTCGTAGGAGCCGCGCTCGGTGTATTAATGGTCTGGTGTCTATGCGGCATACAGCGGCAGCGGCGGCGGCGGCGAGAGGCAGAGTCACGAGCAATCGATAGGCCCGTGCCGTCCATCGATGCCATAGATGCCCGGGCACGATCGCAGCAGATCGAGCCAGTGGCTTTCACAAACAATCCGACGGGTGCGGGGAACTGGTGGCAAGGACCAGCCGGAGGAGGGACGTTTGCAAATAATCGTCATCTTGACGCTGTTCCTGCGTAGAGTTCGCTTTTCCTTTTTTCCACCGAAACGGCCCAGGTGCAGAGTGAGACAACTCAAGCAGGTTCCAATCGCGGATCATCGTGATGGAGACAGTTTGGACAGGGGGATGAATAAACTGGGAGGCGTTATGTCGTCCGTCAATGAAGCGGATGTTAAACCACCAGTACTTGGCGCAGCTATCGGCGGCGGGAAAAAAATAGAGTAGAAACGTTTCTAGTCGGATGAATTTGGGCGCTCCTGTATTGGCCCGTAAGTTTCTTAATATCGTGGCTTGTATACGGGCAGGACTTTTCTGGCTTAGGGTTCAAAAGTCCGCGTTTTAAATATGAAAGGTACGCATTATGCGGTTCGGTGAAATGGTCTCGAGGAGAGGCGGATGGATGACTGATTCACATGGTCGAGCACTCGACGGTACAAGTAAGATGTTTACGTGATCACGTGTTCTTTGAATTCCCTTCTTATAGGGTACGCACATTTTAAAGCGTCGTATCGTGGTTTTCGACTCTAAACAGTGTCACAAGGAAGTGATGTAGGACTTCGGTCCGCACATGTACGAAATTCAACCCCGGTTGTGTGTGTGTGTGTGTGTGTGTGTGTGTGTGTGTGTGTGTGTGTGTGTGTGTATGTATGTGTGTGAGAGAGAGAGAGAGAGAGAGAGAGAGAGAG